AAAACTATTAGGCTATTTAAACTAAAAAGATTAAGCTCTTAAAAAGAAATTGATGAAATGCCTCTTGTAATTATTGTAAAATAATTCTAAACAACAGTTTATATTCCAGATCACGGATGAAATGCCCAGGAAGGATAAAATATTCTCCTCAAAAACTCTCCGCCGCTTACGAGTCCGTGACATTGCCTTGCGTGACCCGCTGTTGTCACGTTTGGCAAAGTTACTTCCTTGCGTGACTGTATGCNAACATTTTGATTGACAACTTTGTTTCAATGTTGTATCGGGAGGGCTCGGGAAGAGCTCGTTAAATGTTCGTCAAGAGTTCGAGAGGGGCTCGAGGGTTGCTTTGGCAGAGTTCGAGAGTAGCCCGTAAAACGAAAACGTCCTCGAGCGAAATATAATAAGCGGGATGTAACAATCACAAGGGACTTACACCTTCTATTGTTGTAAATCATTTTCCTCTTGACAGCTTGTAAAGAGGCTTTCTGACATCTTTTGGTCGAGGGAACAAGAACTGATTTTGGCTGATTCCACGAGCCTGCAGTTTTTGTCAGTATGTTGCCGAATCATTGCGTCATGGGTCACAAGACGACTTTTGGAGATCACGGAAGTGCTTAATCAGTTTTTGATTGAATTAAAAAACAAACGCAAACTTTCCAAATGTTTTACCAAGAATTTTACAAAGACAATTCACGTTCCCTCGACTGTAGAAAAGAATTTCATTTATATAATACATTGATAAACTTTAATAAACGTGAAATTAAGCTATTTAAACTAAAAAGATTAAGAAATTGATAAAATACTTCTTGTAATTATTGTAAAATAATTCTAAACAACAGTTTATATTCCAGATTATCTCCTGATCACGGATGAAATGTCCAGGAAGGATAAAATATCCTCCTCAAAAACTCTCCGCCGCTTATGAGTCCGTGACATTGCCTTGCGTGACTCGCTGTTGTCACGTCTGGCAAAGTTACTTCCTTGCGTGACTGTATGCAATTTATGTTTCTATAGTGATCGCTTTCTTAAGCTCTTTTAACCACCTAAAATGGAACACAGTCAAAGGCCATTAATAAAATTCTCTGTTGTGTGACCCACGAGGGGTCATCCCAGAGGTCTTTGGTAATCACTAAAGAACATAAAACTCCTAGATTTACTCGCCTGCGAGAAATCTGAGCTTCGAGACGAAAAATAGTATAAAAACCCAGGTCGCGTCTCTGATTGGTTGGTAAAAGAGCCAATCAGCTTATCTTCTGCGTATTAAAAAAAAACCTCGTTTTTAAAATGTTTCAATTTTAATTCCCACTTTCTTTGCAGTTCTACGACGAACATTCCATCGAGAAGGTAAGAACATGAATAACAACTTTATTTGAGCGTTAGTTGTTTCCCACTGAGTAAGGAGACTATTAAAAAATAAAATACGATAAAAAATATGTCTCTAATTATATAACTAAATTACAATTTAAAACTTAAAATTTGCCTTTCCCCATTCCTTAGGGCTAACAAAATTGACATTAAGACTATGACTATCTACAGTGCTAAAATGGTAGCTAGTTAAAGAATACTAAAAAGTGAAAAAATGCAACATAAAAATTAATAGATACAAAAAAAAAAAACAGATTTGACACTCGTTTCAACAAATTGACGCCAGTTTTTTATGCGTCTGTCCCCTTACTGATGATAAATTACGTCATAACATTGTCAAAGTGGCTGTGGAACCACGAGTGGTTCCGCAGTGGTTCCACAATAAACTTTGACAATGTTATGACGAAATTTATAATCAATAAGAGGACAGATGCATGTCAATTTGTTTTTTTACAATAACAAGACCCCAAAATGGTCAAATGCCGGGAATAAATGGGGGGAAAGACGCCGTAAACTTGCCGTAAACAAACACAAGTGAATTTTATTCAAAATGACGCGAACATTGTCCATAGCTTTTTTCGCTTTTTGATTGGCTACTTAAAAGGTCTATAAAATCGCATTGGTTAAAAAGTTGACAGTTTGACAGCTGAAAGTTGAACTTGAAAGCATGCATAAATTAAAACTTTATCGTCTGTACTCTTATTGATGCTAAAAATGAGCCAATCAGGGCGCGAGAAATTAGACAGTTATTGTAAAATAAGTCTTTGATGTGAAACGNTTTTGTTGTCTTGCCTTGTGTTTTCTCGTGTATCATTGCGTTTTGTTGGGTTGGGTTGGTTCACAAACAGTGACTTCACTCACGAAACAAAACAAAATCGGCCGTACCTTGCCAAGGTCTTCGATCTGATAACTCAATACTGGTAGAGTTTCCAGAGCCACAACATCCTTTAAGAAATGAAACAAACAAACGATACGTTAATAGCACGCCAAGTACGATCTTTAAACGCACAAGTGGAACCCAATAGTACTTAGGCGTTTTACTTCATCTTATGATTGCTGAATTATTAACACTTTAGAACGAGGACCAAAACTTTTAAGCCAACCACCTCCAAGTCTAAACCCTGACAAGACCCTTGCGCTTTTTTGCCGCACTTGATACTGTTTTCAAGTTTTCCTATGCTTTCCCTTACGGCAATTTCCAACGCTTTCAAGTGTTTGCACTTAAGAGCGCTTGTCATAAATTGCAAGTTTTGTCACGTTTCTCGTTGATTATACGTGTTGCCTTCTAGCTCAGCTTGATCTATTACACTATTTCTGGTCCCAGATCGACTCAGTGACTGTGAAAACCTTCACTTCACGGGCTTGCTCTTTGTCATTCTCCGAATCCTATTTATAGCGTCTCTGCCACTTACCGAGCTTGCTTTGTACGAGTATAATACGTTGTTCTTGAGCACAAACCAGGCCTTTTTCCATCCATGTCTTCCTTTTTTGAATCTTAAGTAGCCACTCATTTGACTGCCTTCCTGATTAGCGACAACCTGACGAGACAAGGGACATTTTAAATGCAAAACGGTCTTTCGTTCGGGGGGGGGGGGGGGATGTAGTCCCTTTTATGTGGCCAAAATAACTCAAAATGCTGTAATTGAGCTCCTTTAACACCTTCATTTTATCAGAGGGGTAGGGANATAGTACCAAAGGAAGTAATACAACGCCCTACTGCACAGTAGTTAGTATAGACCCACGGCCGGGAGGTACTCCCTATAATAGCCTATACGGGGAGGCCCCGCCCGAAAGGGGTACCTTTTCTAGGTTTCAACTATATAAAAGGGTAGGGATTTTACAAGTTGAGGTATATGAAAGGGTAGAGAAATCTCTCATTTAGGTATTTAAAAGGGACTTTAATTAAAATATTTCGAACAGAAACACCTTATGACTGTATATCCAATTTGTTAAGCTTTACGTCATTAACTTCATTTCAAGGGTTTAGAAAAAGAGATGCAACGTCCTAAGTACATATATGAAATGGGTACCTTTCCTGTCAAAGAGGTATACAAAAGGGTAAGGGGTTGCACCTCGAGGCGGAGCCCCCCCTTATAAGAATTTGTAGAGTACCCCCCACCCCACCGGGACTTTCGTACTCGTTTGGCCAAAATCTTAGATCTCCTTACTGCTTTCTTTACATTTCTATTGTTGCTTGCTCTGAAAATTTGGTGGTTCGTCAAGACAATCCACCATCTGATCATTTCCTTTGTTCTCATCACTTGTTTACTTAACATTGTGTTCGTATAGTAAGGAGAAACTAGAAATTCACCACTCCTCACCTCCGTTAAGTGAGACGGATGCATTATCTGTGATTTTCTCTTTGTCTTTTTGCTCTTAAATCGCCGCATGATTTCAAACTTGGTGGGCTTTCTCAGAAGCTTCTCCGCATTTTCCACTTCTTGTAGCAATGGCGGCAATGTGGCCGCTTCTTCCTCTTCTACGTGTATTTCATCCGTGTGAAAATCTGCAAAGAAAACAATAAGCGGACACTTAGAAATCGGTGAGAAGTCTGAGCAAGTCTTAATTGTTCAAATTTTGGTGTAGTCGTGCAAAGCTCTGTTTGATTAAGAGCAATCGTAGACACTGCGGGAAATACTTCGGGTTCTTTAACAAAAGCAGCCATTAAGCAAGCAGTTTTAACTCTACGAACTGAACCGATGGTCCCCTTATTGTGCAGTTCTGCAACAAAGTTTCCGTAAAATTCCGAAAGTAACTATATTCGTNTTTTGCAGTGATGTTACACTTTTTGCACTGGTGTTACACTTGAACTGCACTGCTCTTAGCCAATCAGAATCGAGTAATTTTTTCATGTGTATTATTAGGGGTATTATTAATTATGAGAGGTATAAATCAAGGAATCTGGTCTCACTGAGGGTGTTCATGACGAAACGCCACTATTTTTAGCTGTCAAAATATCTTTTATAGGGTGCACTTTAAATCTCCCCCGTCCCCCACCCTCACCCCATCCCCCCCCCCCAACAGAATAAAAAGTCCCTTCTAGAAAACATCGCGCGCCACAGCAAGGGTACAACTGATCTACTAGTAAATGAACGAAAGTGTAAAAGAATGTATTATTTCGAAGAGCAGTTAATGTGTGGTGTCTGTGCATCTTGTAAACATAAACACAACAAACTAAGCAAGTCTTGCTTGCCTTTCGCGAGAGAATACGTTACCATTTAACCGTTATCATGTATAGAACGGTTTTCAACTGAGTATCGTAACGCCAAAACAAAGCAATCACTCTGGCCAATCGCAAAGGACATAGACAATACAGTAAACCAATCAAAACGCGACGAAAGTACATCTAGCTGACGTCGAGAGCGGGAAAACGTGTGCAAATGAGTCACTATTGATTCTGGTTTTACTTCTGATTGGATGAAAAGTGGCCCGAAGATTTTAAGCCAATCGTGTAGCATAATTAGGTCTAGTAATGCAAAACCACTTGGCCATTTCCGAGTGCCCTTTTGCCTCTGTGTCGAAACGAGTCTTGGTGCAAAACCTTTCTTATGAAAATGAGTTTGATTTGCATGAAAATGAACCTGTAGGGGAACACATTATAAAGAGTTTGATTTGCATGAAGATGAACCTGTAGGCGGAACACATGTTCATATGAATGGTTTGGCACGAAGACTGGCTTTGACACAGAGGCAAAAGGCAACGAACTTTTGGACACTCGAACGAAAACCGTTCTTGACTAATAAATCATTGTTAGGTCCAGTTCTACTATTATAATATCGGGAATAATTAAGGTTTAGGTAACTGTCATAAGCTTCAGCATTTGGTTTTTCGACTGATAACACTTATGCCGCCCTTGGTTATATTTCTGGATATCATAAAAACCACTTCCAGTAACTGCTAACAATTCCATTACAAAACACACTCTCTACATGTTTCTACTTACGTTTCCGCAGGCTCGGCAGTGATGTCTGCGGTTTGTGAGAGTGAATGGTGATGTGCAGCTCATACACATTGTAACACGAGCATCGGGAATCCACACAGGAGCCTTCTCACCAAGTTTGAAATCACCATCTTGTTCCTGTATTCCCTAAAAAGTTATCCAAAAATAACCGGGTTCAAATTAGAGCGAGAGAAATAGAAGTTGAAATAAAAGTTGAACGAGCTAGACTAGTGTTAAGTCGGCAGTTTTGCTTCGTTTCGTTTCGTTTCGCTTCGCTTCGTTTCGTTTCGTTTCGTTTCAGGCCTGCATTGCGTTAAGTTGCGTTGCGCTGCGTTGGGATGCGTTGCCAAATACATAATATCAAAGTAAACGTGAGGTAAGAAATTAATTGTATGGATCTAAATGACAATGATAAAAGGTGAGAAACAAACGAGTTTTTTCAAACCACGTATCACAATTTAGTTTTTTAATTTTTTCCATGTGACCCCTCTTTTGTATTTGTTGTGTTATTGAAATATTCCTTCACTGTTTTAAGTGGTTATATCTATATTTCACTCAATTTGGTGGCTATTTTCTTTAAGTCTAAATTTCGTGACAAAGTTCCTTTCAGAACATGTTGAATACACTCAACTATAACGTTCCTTACCAGTGCCGCGGCATCTCTTGTCTTGCTGACGAAAGTGATTTTCCTTTTTGTAACGACGTCTATGGCATTATTGATAGCCTGAAAATCAAGTGACAACATTGATTTACACAAGGCCCATATATGTAAGATAAATTACGAACGAGTTTGCACCGTCCGAGACGCAACCGTAATATTACACGTTACGTTACGCTACGTTACGTTTCGTTTTGTTTCGTTTCGTTTTCTTGTCTATGGATTTCGGGACGCAGCCGTAATGTTTGTTTGTCTTAAAGTTATTGCTTCTAAACTTAGGATTCATCACAAGTACGCATACCTCGACCCACTGATCTCTTTCTTCTGGGGTGCTGAAAAGAAGAATGCAGTCATATGACGATGAGATATCTTCAACTCAACAGCAACTCTTCGAGTCTGAGCATTTTTAAAATGAGCGTCGTAAAACCAAAACCAATGTAACCTCTCTTGCCATACGGACAACACAGTGAACCAATCAAAACTCGAACTCAATGCACGTAGCCGACGCGAAGCGCGGGAAACCTACGTCACTGAGTCACGATCTTGGTCTGACTTCTGATTGGCTGAGAAACTGGCGCGAGATTTTTTAACACCAATCAGAAAGAGTAATGATGCAACGCGAATTACTTTCGACACTCAAGTGAAAACTACTCTAATTATAATTTCCAGCTGCTGTGGTATAAATGTTAGTTAACATCAATGCTTGAACGCACAAGTGAATGAAGAAATCCTTATACTCTCTTAAGTGCAATCATACACTAGTTTTTAAACGTTCTCCACGCACCTCATTTTGTACCGGGCGTATTATTTGAGAAACTTTAAAGGCTGCAAATTGGTGAATGAGTAATGTACTTGAAGTTTGAAGTTTTGCATTGAACGTTCAGCCGATTCTAATTTGCTACCCACTCAGTTTGTATTACCATTTCAAATGACTGTGTGTTTGAACTGACCTTGCGGTGAGAGTGAATGATCTTGTAGTGCTGATAATACTGAATTCATTTACAAAGTCTGGAGAATCTGGTACAAGCACCTTACAAAAGACAAACGAAAAAAAAAAACCAAAAAAAAAACCAATAAATTACTACCTGAGAGGGTTCTTCTCAAGTAACACAGGTAAGAGGTGAACAATCGAGCTAGGAAATTCCTATCTCCTGAACTTCAATAATGAGTACACGTATGGCGAACGGAAAAACCGTTAAAGATGCATGACACTTGCAGTTAAATAGCTTATAGGTTGATATTATAACAAATTATCAAAACGCGTCATAAAAGTCTTTGAAGAAACAGACGTTTCGGGTAACTAACCCTTCTTCCGTGTTCAGAAAACCGTTATACACCGTTATTCAACGGTTTTCTGAACACTGAAGAAGCGTTATACACTCGAAACGTCTGTTTCTTCAAAGACTTTTATGACACTTTTTGATAATTTGTTATAACATCAACCTACAAGCTATGAGTTCATGTGCCCTATGAGGATTTTCTCTCATTAGTATATCCCCCAACGTAGCCGACGCCAGGCACTGAAGCCTTGTTTATCAACCTAATCAGCCTTGATATATAAGCTGTCCACTATGCTCAATTTTAATTACGTGACTATGGCTCTGAAATAGAGCAAAAATAATGTAAACCTTACCTCAATGTAATAACCAAAACTTGTTTTCAACATCGGAGGTTAGTGCACAATCTTGGAATCTATCAACTAGCTTCCGGTTGGGACTACTGTTAAACTGTCACTCTTATAATCACTTGCCGAGGTCTTCAGCTTCGGAAACTTAAGCGATACCCTCGATGAACAAAACTGTGACGGACACAGCCGTTGTAATCACAGAACACTTACCTGCATTCCAAGGAGAGGCAACATTTTGTTCAGCTTGTACTGGTTACCACCCACAGGGGTGGTGTAAAGAAGAACATCAGTTAGCTGATAAAAAAAAAAAAATGCAAAAGAAAATGAAAACAATGCACTTTAAAGTGATCCAGCACACAATCTACATGTGCCTCTTGTGTTGAGGTGCACGTCTAGCATTTGAAAGCACACTGTAATTGGTCTGCGTATAATAAACAATTAGATCATGAGCTCGAGATTTCTATCACGTGATAGTTGACTCGGGCTGCGCCCTCGTCAACTATTGCGCATAGAAATGGAGAGCGAATAATCTAATTGTTTAGCATAAATCTACTAGTCGTTCAAAACTTTATCTAAATACTCTTCAGACACTTCGAAAACGCCAAGAAGGGGCCGTCATGCTGTTAACAAGCGCACACTGCTACGCTACTCACTATCTATGACAGAATAGATGGTGAGTAGCGTAGCCAATCAGCGAACGGCATTTGTGATAGAACGCTAGTAGATTTATACTTATAATTAATATGGCTGTTCGTTTCAGCAGATATTCGTAAGAGACTTAGAGGAAAGATTGCGTGACGAGTACATGCGTGACACGCGTCTATGTGAGAGAACACCTTTAAGGAAGCAAAATTTACCACTTTGTTCAGCAGTGTTTTTAAGGGTAATCTATTGTGCCTTAAAGATTACCATTATCGGATCAGCTGAAACATCACATGAAAAAGAGTGGTAATATTCAACCATCCAAGAATAATTGTCGGAAAGAGCTGGAAACTGCTACCAGCCAATTAATACCCTGCACAGAAACAAGAATGAAAGACTTTTTGCAACACATAAAAATGTTTACGAACCAAGAAAAACATTCTTTCTTGCATGTCTTTCCGACACAACTTCATCAGTGTTCCTTCTTTTAGATAATCCTGTCAAAAAATGGAAATAAAAGCAACTTTTAAATATTAAGTATTATGACAAAAAGCAAAAGACATCTAGAATTGAAAGTATTCCAAAAAAACTATTACAAACAACAGTTATACTGACCCGCCCAGCTTTAACGATCTCTGGGTGTCCGACAAGCATTCTTTGGAGTTTTAACATCTGTTCAAAACTGTCCTGTTAAACATAAACCAAGACAAGGAGATAAGAAAACCTCACACTACTGAAATTTTAGGATACCATACTGCATTGCCTGTTAAGCCAACAAGTGTAGAAAAAAAGGCTAAACACGTACATTGTACTAGAAATAATCAAATAAGGCCACTATCACTCACCATCTTCTTCATGGATTCATTAATATGGGTCGCAACCTCTGACACAATCTTCAGTGTGACTGTTAGAGAACAAATTGATCAATATCATAGAAGAACATAATGTATTGTTGCTATCACCAATTACAATTAATACCATAATAAATGAGGTTCATTTACATTCAGCAACAAAGTATTTCATTGCCACTTACTCTCTGTGTCTTTTGACTCATCAGAATCCTTGGGTAAATGTTTAAGATAGTCTGCATGAAAAGAATGCAACCAAAAAATGAAACCTTCTTCTTTGTTTAATATCATAAACAAATTAACATTGAACACTATAATTTAGTAATTGCTAGTAAGACAGGATCGAGAGCTTGAGTATGTGGCTGCACAGTACCCAGCTTCTCCACACAGAGGTATCCAGTCATAAAAAAAATTGTATGCTATTCTGGCCCACCACCAACTACATGTACTTTGGGTAAACTGCATTGAAATTAGCATCCCTTCAAACAGAAATAGAAACACTCAATTGGAAATGTAGTGATGTAGTACACTTAGTTTTATGCTACACTACTACTAACAGTAGCTGTCCATCTGGACCACTGCCTAGGCATGTAAGTACACCTTAATCTTGTACACAAAATGCTCACCAATTAGAAGAAGTCTGTAGCTTGGTATCCTCTGTACAGGTTTCAGCATGTAAGCTGACAGAATCATACCATTACATCTTTCACTTGCCTGAAAAGCAAACAAGACAACAAAAAAATTATCAGATGATCAACCTGGCAAATCAGTTCATTTCAATCATCTTAGCACTACTTCCAAACAACTGTCATGCCATGTACATAATTGTGCCTATTTTCTTTGATACAATACACTTCGTCTTGAAACATTATTTTGTGATAAAACAAAAACACAGACAACAAAATAATCTTACACTCAAAGACAACTGTTTCTTAACCTTTCTTGTTCAATACACGCTGGTTGTTGTATTGTACATTGTTGGTGGTCAATGTATGTCACCTGTGATCCAAANGAAGTTGAAATAAAAGTTGAACGAGCTAGACTAGTGTTAAGTCGGCAGTTTTGCTTCGTTTCGTTTCGTTTCGCTTCGCTTCGTTTCGTTTCGTTTCGTTTCAGGCCTGCATTGCGTTAAGTTGCGTTGCGCTGCGTTGGGATGCGTTGCCAAATACATAATATCAAAGTAAACGTGAGGTAAGAAATTAATTGTATGGATCTAAATGACAATGATAAAAGGTGAGAAACAAACGAGTTTTTTCAAACCACGTATCACAATTTAGTTTTTTAATTTTTTCCATGTGACCCCTCTTTTGTATTTGTTGTGTTATTGAAATATTCCTTCACTGTTTTAAGTGGTTATATCTATATTTCACTCAATTTGGTGGCTATTTTCTTTAAGTCTAAATTTCGTGACAAAGTTCCTTTCAGAACATGTTGAATACACTCAACTATAACGTTCCTTACCAGTGCCGCGGCATCTCTTGTCTTGCTGACGAAAGTGATTTTCCTTTTTGTAACGACGTCTATGGCATTATTGATAGCCTGAAAATCAAGTGACAACATTGATTTACACAAGGCCCATATATGTAAGATAAATTACGAACGAGTTTGCACCGTCCGAGACGCAACCGTAATATTACACGTTACGTTACGCTACGTTACGTTTCGTTTTGTTTCGTTTCGTTTTCTTGTCTATGGATTTCGGGACGCAGCCGTAATGTTTGTTTGTCTTAAAGTTATTGCTTCTAAACTTAGGATTCATCACAAGTACGCATACCTCGACCCACTGATCTCTTTCTTCTGGGGTGCTGAAAAGAAGAATGCAGTCATATGACGATGAGATATCTTCAACTCAACAGCAACTCTTCGAGTCTGAGCATTTTTAAAATGAGCGTCGTAAAACCAAAACCAATGTAACCTCTCTTGCCATACGGACAACACAGTGAACCAATCAAAACTCGAACTCAATGCACGTAGCCGACGCGAAGCGCGGGAAACCTACGTCACTGAGTCACGATCTTGGTCTGACTTCTGATTGGCTGAGAAACTGGCGCGAGATTTTTTAACACCAATCAGAAAGAGTAATGATGCAACGCGAATTACTTTCGACACTCAAGTGAAAACTACTCTAATTATAATTTCCAGCTGCTGTGGTATAAATGTTAGTTAACATCAATGCTTGAACGCACAAGTGAATGAAGAAATCCTTATACTCTCTTAAGTGCAATCATACACTAGTTTTTAAACGTTCTCCACGCACCTCATTTTGTACCGGGCGTATTATTTGAGAAACTTTAAAGGCTGCAAATTGGTGAATGAGTAATGTACTTGAAGTTTGAAGTTTTGCATTGAACGTTCAGCCGATTCTAATTTGCTACCCACTCAGTTTGTATTACCATTTCAAATGACTGTGTGTTTGAACTGACCTTGCGGTGAGAGTGAATGATCTTGTAGTGCTGATAATACTGAATTCATTTACAAAGTCTGGAGAATCTGGTACAAGCACCTTACAAAAGACAAACGAAAAAAAAAAACCAAAAAAAAAACCAATAAATTACTACCTGAGAGGGTTCTTCTCAAGTAACACAGGTAAGAGGTGAACAATCGAGCTAGGAAATTCCTATCTCCTGAACTTCAATAATGAGTACACGTATGGCGAACGGAAAAACCGTTAAAGATGCATGACACTTGCAGTTAAATAGCTTATAGGTTGATATTATAACAAATTATCAAAACGCGTCATAAAAGTCTTTGAAGAAACAGACGTTTCGGGTAACTAACCCTTCTTCCGTGTTCAGAAAACCGTTATACACCGTTATTCAACGGTTTTCTGAACACTGAAGAAGCGTTATACACTCGAAACGTCTGTTTCTTCAAAGACTTTTATGACACTTTTTGATAATTTGTTATAACATCAACCTACAAGCTATGAGTTCATGTGCCCTATGAGGATTTTCTCTCATTAGTATATCCCCCAACGTAGCCGACGCCAGGCACTGAAGCCTTGTTTATCAACCTAATCAGCCTTGATATATAAGCTGTCCACTATGCTCAATTTTAATTACGTGACTATGGCTCTGAAATAGAGCAAAAATAATGTAAACCTTACCTCAATGTAATAACCAAAACTTGTTTTCAACATCGGAGGTTAGTGCACAATCTTGGAATCTATCAACTAGCTTCCGGTTGGGACTACTGTTAAACTGTCACTCTTATAATCACTTGCCGAGGTCTTCAGCTTCGGAAACTTAAGCGATACCCTCGATGAACAAAACTGTGACGGACACAGCCGTTGTAATCACAGAACACTTACCTGCATTCCAAGGAGAGGCAACATTTTGTTCAGCTTGTACTGGTTACCACCCACAGGGGTGGTGTAAAGAAGAACATCAGTTAGCTGATAAAAAAAAAAAAATGCAAAAGAAAATGAAAACAATGCACTTTAAAGTGATCCAGCACACAATCTACATGTGCCTCTTGTGTTGAGGTGCACGTCTAGCATTTGAAAGCACACTGTAATTGGTCTGCGTATAATAAACAATTAGATCATGAGCTCGAGATTTCTATCACGTGATAGTTGACTCGGGCTGCGCCCTCGTCAACTATTGCGCATAGAAATGGAGAGCGAATAATCTAATTGTTTAGCATAAATCTACTAGTCGTTCAAAACTTTATCTAAATACTCTTCAGACACTTCGAAAACGCCAAGAAGGGGCCGTCATGCTGTTAACAAGCGCACACTGCTACGCTACTCACTATCTATGACAGAATAGATGGTGAGTAGCGTAGCCAATCAGCGAACGGCATTTGTGATAGAACGCTAGTAGATTTATACTTATAATTAATATGGCTGTTCGTTTCAGCAGATATTCGTAAGAGACTTAGAGGAAAGATTGCGTGACGAGTACATGCGTGACACGCGTCTATGTGAGAGAACACCTTTAAGGAAGCAAAATTTACCACTTTGTTCAGCAGTGTTTTTAAGGGTAATCTATTGTGCCTTAAAGATTACCATTATCGGATCAGCTGAAACATCACATGAAAAAGAGTGGTAATATTCAACCATCCAAGAATAATTGTCGGAAAGAGCTGGAAACTGCTACCAGCCAATTAATACCCTGCACAGAAACAAGAATGAAAGACTTTTTGCAACACATAAAAATGTTTACGAACCAAGAAAAACATTCTTTCTTGCATGTCTTTCCGACACAACTTCATCAGTGTTCCTTCTTTTAGATAATCCTGTCAAAAAATGGAAATAAAAGCAACTTTTAAATATTAAGTATTATGACAAAAAGCAAAAGACATCTAGAATTGAAAGTATTCCAAAAAAACTATTACAAACAACAGTTATACTGACCCGCCCAGCTTTAACGATCTCTGGGTGTCCGACAAGCATTCTTTGGAGTTTTAACATCTGTTCAAAACTGTCCTGTTAAACATAAACCAAGACAAGGAGATAAGAAAACCTCACACTACTGAAATTTTAGGATACCATACTGCATTGCCTGTTAAGCCAACAAGTGTAGAAAAAAAGGCTAAACACGTACATTGTACTAGAAATAATCAAATAAGGCCACTATCACTCACCATCTTCTTCATGGATTCATTAATATGGGTCGCAACCTCTGACACAATCTTCAGTGTGACTGTTAGAGAACAAATTGATCAATATCATAGAAGAACATAATGTATTGTTGCTATCACCAATTACAATTAATACCATAATAAATGAGGTTCATTTACATTCAGCAACAAAGTATTTCATTGCCACTTACTCTCTGTGTCTTTTGACTCATCAGAATCCTTGGGTAAATGTTTAAGATAGTCTGCATGAAAAGAATGCAACCAAAAAATGAAACCTTCTTCTTTGTTTAATATCATAAACAAATTAACATTGAACACTATAATTTAGTAATTGCTAGTAAGACAGGATCGAGAGCTTGAGTATGTGGCTGCACAGTACCCAGCTTCTCCACACAGAGGTATCCAGTCATAAAAAAAATTGTATGCTATTCTGGCCCACCACCAACTACATGTACTTTGGGTAAACTGCATTGAAATTAGCATCCCTTCAAACAGAAATAGAAACACTCAATTGGAAATGTAGTGATGTAGTACACTTAGTTTTATGCTACACTACTACTAACAGTAGCTGTCCATCTGGACCACTGCCTAGGCATGTAAGTACACCTTAATCTTGTACACAAAATGCTCACCAATTAGAAGAAGTCTGTAGCTTGGTATCCTCTGTACAGGTTTCAGCATGTAAGCTGACAGAATCATACCATTACATCTTTCACTTGCCTGAAAAGCAAACAAGACAACAAAAAAATTATCAGATGATCAACCTGGCAAATCAGTTCATTTCAATCATCTTAGCACTACTTCCAAACAACTGTCATGCCATGTACATAATTGTGCCTATTTTCTTTGATACAATACACTTCGTCTTGAAACATTATTTTGTGATAAAACAAAAACACAGACAACAAAATAATCTTACACTCAAAGACAACTGTTTCTTAACCTTTCTTGTTCAATACACGCTGGTTGTTGTATTGTACATTGTTGGTGGTCAATGTATGTCACCTGTGATCCAAACAATACAGTCACAACAATGAACCCAGTCAGTTGTTTGGCAAGGTGTAAAATTATCTTCATACTGATAAAAACTGCAAAAATATTCATGTGCAAAGTAATATGTACCATCCACACAAAACAAGACATAATTGTGATGTTCTAAAAAATATATCCATACATCCCCGACAGAAAGGATTGGAATTTCCTGCGGGTGGGGAATGTATGAAGTTTAATTAGAATTTCCAGGGGGTGGGGGTCTTACAAAAAATCCATTCTGTGGGGGAGGTCTGGATATTTTCCAGAACTACATATTTTAATGAATATCTCTTACCTGGAATTGAGAAACCAAGTTTGCAAATTCTGCATTCTCCTTCATCGTGTCTTGAAAGACACTCATGGCTTTGTCATAACCATTCACATACTGGGTGTACATCTGAAAAGTTATTATCAATTCAAGGTTTAAAAAGTTCCCATATTTAATAAGTAACATAATCAAGCACCGAGAAAAATATGCATCCAAATCCTTTGTGCAGGGCTCAAAAAAAGTACCATCCAGTCATCTGTGACAAGTAGATTTTCTTGCCAGGCAAGTAACTTTTCATTCTCATTTTGCCCAATGGACAGGGGCTCAGATATGTCATCGGCCAACTAAATCAATACAGAGCAAACGAAGGCTTGCCAGGGACAAGCAAAATTTGAGAGCTACAGTTACCTTTCCGAGCCCTGTTTGTAGACAATAAAACAATTCAGGAATGTCACAATGTTTTGATTATCATACAATCAAGTACCTTCAAGAAATGTCCATATTTCTTGATAATGTCCCCAATTCTCTCATGTTCCTCCCTAGAAACAAAATGACAACAATCTCAATGTTAAAAACAGGTTACAACGTAAGTTTTGAATTACATTTAGTAATGAATTTCCACAAAGAGCCTGTTAGCTGACCATTTGTTGGAAAGTTGAACAGCATGACAGAGATACATGGATCACTTCTAAAAGCAGTTCCTAGGTTGCAATCTTCGTATTTGTTCCACCAATCATATTGATCCAATTCTTTTTTTTTTTTTTGCACTGTAAGTGTCCAGAATTTCAACTCTTTAGAATCATCATGTTTTGACTTAGAAGTGCCTAACCCTTACTGATAGTTGGAGGCTACACTGTATCTACAAGTAAATTATCTCAGTAATTTTCCATCTGCATCAATACTAGTCAGCAAACAGTTGCAACAGGTATACGTACACGTGCTTGAGGACTTGACATACAAGGTGCGTAATACATGTATCTTCCCGATAAGTAATTTTCTAATTACCATGTTTTCATCCTTTCTTCTAACTCCTGGAGAAATTTAGAGTCCAGCAAATAAATATTTTCCAAATCCCGGAAAATGTCACCCAGAACAGCATCAGCTATAACATTTGCATTCTTGATTGTACCATAGCATTCCTAGAAAAAGAGAAACTTGTTAGCACCTAGAGCTCAGCAACTGATGAATCAGGGACTGTGTATGTACAGCATATGCACGTGTACCTATACAGTGTGATTTTTTGAAAGGACCAATCTCATGAATGCAATAATAGTAAACATGTACCTACATGTACCACCTTTTTCAGAGTCACAGGCCTTCAGACCTTCAATAGATTTCTGCAAGCATTTTGAGCATTTCTCTGTCCCACTCCTAGAAATGTTTTAACTGGGGAAGTGGACTATTATTGGCAGGGACTTTTTTTTTTTTTACATCTGTAACAGCTCTGATTTTTTAACTGGGTGTCAGAGTTTGTTTCAATGTCAAGACTACAATTGTTTTAGTATAAATCTACTAGTCGTTCAACACTTTATCTAAATGCTCTTCACAGACACTTCGAAAACACCAAGAAGCGGCCGTCATTTTGTTAAACAAGCGCACACTGCTACGCCACTCACTATCTATCACAGAATAGATAGTGAGTAGCTTAGACAATCAGCAAACGGCATTCAGCATTCTATTTTCAAGGGTCTGGGAAAGATTTCCTCCTCCCCTCCCCAAACCAATGAATTGCTTTTTTCTATTTCTGAAACTGCACAGACCACACCACTGCATTGGGGTGGGGCTCAGGGATATGAGAGAATTATTGCTCGATATATATGAAATAGAACAACTACTTTTGTTGCCCACTGTGCACAGGTGTGAGATTTGGCATGGTTTTAATGAAGCCCATCATTATGTAAGCCCTTCAAAGGATTATGGACCTGATAGAGTATACTTCCAAAAGACTCTTTTTTAAGCGTTTCATGTTTAAGCCTAGCCAGGGTTGTGTTCTTGAGATAGTATTAAAAGAAATGGTAATTATATGTACATGAACGTGACTTTTATGTATGTAGTCAGTAGTTCTAGTGAATTGTTGGGGCAGCCTGGGATGACCTCGGACATTGTGTATCCCATCTAGGAGATAGTAGATAGCCAATGAGGTGCATAGCACTGAGTTGGCTGTAATCATGTGATATCCAACAAGCACGAGTAGGATAACTGTGTTATTAAAAATGCCGAAAAATATAGAAAACCAATTAAAAATAAGATCCTTATAGAAATTAGAAACTCCCCTGGAAAACAATTAGTAGGGCTGGCATATCTGTAGATCACGGTATAACGCTCACGTAGCATGATGGCTAAGCCAATGAAAACTCTTGAATTGCATGATAATAAATACATTACATACCAGTAACTATAATTATCTTGTTCACTATCATCCATGTCTACAGACCATATTTTTCACCTACCTCAAAGACAAGCTTCAAAGCATCCACAAATGTACGTTCAGTTGTGAGAATTTCATGAGCGATGTAGTATGTCTTAGGCTTGGCTGGACCCTTTGTAAATAATAACAAGACAAAAAATTATTGTATAATCTGCAGCTAGATTATTGTATTAGTGTATAATCTGCAGCTAGATGACATCACAGGCGCTGATTTTGAAAATTCACCGTACATCTTCGGCCAATCAGAAAAGAGATAGTGAGTTTAATGTATAATAATTGGTTAAATCTGGCTACTAGATTGACTACCAGTAGAACTGTAACTCATCCCAGGGAGGACATGGTAAGTGCTCTGAAGTAAAACATTGATCAATGTAACTAAGAGCCCTTGCCTTTGTGGGAGTCTCTTCTCCAACATCAGAATCTGAGTCTGAATCTAAATTATGTCCAAATGGTCCAGGAGACCCAGGAGGCAGCATGTTACCCTCATTGTTTAAAAAGCTTGCTCTGCCACTGGGTGGCGGTGGTCGTGGAGGCCTGCGTTTAATGGTTGACTCCTCTTCTGTGCTTTCCTGTGTAGAGACCTCAGAAGATGACAACATGGAAAGCTCCAATGATGAAATATTTGAGGAAGTCCCCTCCCTACTGTTTTGAAGAGCATTCAAGCGACTTCGCGGAGCTGGGATAGGGGAATCCCCTTTCGGCGGTGTGGCAGATTCTGATGATTCAGCTGTTTTGGAGCTCTTTCTTGGAACAGGGCTTGGTGAATTTCTCTGTTCTCTAGTCCTTGGGAGTGGCTTAGGGGACTCCCTTGCTGTTGTCTCAGAGTTAACAGAACTGGGAAAACTTCCCAAATCAAACTTGATGTTCATGTCATCTTTTGTAAGACTCCATCTTGGTGGTTTTGGAGGAGGGGTTACTTTTTTCTGTGGTGCTTCTTCAACAGGAATGGGGAAAACAGTAACAGTTTTCTGATGTGCTTTCTCAGCAGGAACAGAGGCAACAGAGACACTTTTGGGCTGTTCTTGAACAGGGACGGCATACATGTCATTACCCTCCTGTGGAACTGCCTGAACAAGCTCATTACTGGAAGGCTCTGCAAATGTTTCCACCACAGGTACTGATGTTACTTGACCGGGCACAGAGTATACATCTCCCTCATTGGTCTCGCTCCTGTCTCTTACTGTACAAGCCTGAACTACGATTGGTTTCGGCACAGCATATTCATTATCTTGGACAGTCCTATAAGATGAAATCTGATAAGGAACACTATACTCAGACTCATCATTAGCATAGCTCTCAACTGGTATCACTCTAGGAACTCTATAAATTGCCTCATCGTCAGACACACGTTGAGCAGGGCGTGGCAGGGACAGAACAACTGTCTCGTATTTACTAAAGGATTGAGTTTTCCTCACTGCAGTACCACTCTTAATTAACTCCACTGGTTGTTTTTTGGTGGGTTTAATATTTTCATAAGCATTCTTTTGTTGTCTAGCCTGGCGATTGCGCCTTTCTGGGCGTACTGGCTGTGGAGATGTTGGTGAGTGTGCTTCCTCTGCATTTTCATCTTCTTGTGATGCTGGTTCTTCAACAGATGGAGCAGTAACATTATTCTCCTTGTCTTCGTCTTCAGTAGAAATGGCGACAGCATTGACAATAAATTCAACTACTTCTTTTGATGTCTCTAACAATGTGGAATCTGCTATAGAAGCTGCCACCTCACTGTTCACTTCAACTTGTTCTACATTTTCACTAGAACAAGAATCTTCTGTATCTTTAGTATCTTCCTCTTTACTAGCATCCTCAGAGACTGAGTCCTCAACAAGTACATTTTCTTCAGATTTTTCTTCTTCATTCAATTCCGACATGACTACATTTTCAGATTCCACTTCTTCAGAAAATGTCATTGCTACATCAGGCAGTAACTGCCCTTCAGTTTCATTTCGGAAATCATCCATCAAATTTTCAGAATCTGTTTTTTGGACGATTTGCTCACCCTCAGAAAAGGAAGCAGTGATTTCCAACTCTTCCTTTACTAGTTTATCTTCTAAATCCTCAGAATCTTCATTAGCGGGTACCTCATGGCTATCCTCTTCCACAACTTCAGTAGCTCTTTCAGAGACTACATGATCAGTCACAGATATTAAAGTACCTTCTCTTATGGCTTCAGCTAAAATCACTTCGCTGTTTTCCTGTGGTTCATCCTCTTTCAACTCTGTAACAGTATCCATGTCTTCTTTACTCCCCTCCACTGATTCAACTTGCCGTGAATCTAAATCCCCTAGCTGCCAATCAGCTTCAAGTTCAACATCCTGATCCATAGTTGTTTTGTAGAACTCCTCAATAGACATATTGCCTTCTAACATGTTCTCCTGATCATCATCACTGAGGTCATCCAAAATGTCTATGTCACACATCTCTTCATCTTCTGTTGGTTTTTCAAGTTCAATTTCTGCAAATTTCTCAATTTTTTTATTTACTTCATTACTATCACTGATTTCTCCTTCTTTTTGTTCTTCCTCGGAGGACTCCTTTGTCAAAGGCTCAGAATAATAACTTTCCTCCACATCTCCTCCTTCAAGAGACCTTTCATCGGGAGTTTCTTCACAACGTTGGACAAACTGATCATCCAAACTAATATGTGATTTGTTTATTTCCTCTACTTCAGACACATGAGCAGTTTTAGTCAATGAAACATCATCATGATGAAGTTTCTGTCTCTCTGCAGTATCATCTATCCTGGTAACAGAACATTCTTCCTCCAGCTCAACGCAGTACAAAATCTTAACATTCTGTTTACCATGTCCAGTCAAACTATCTGTTATCCCATTAACTTCTACCAAATCAGCAGAGCTGCCATTTTCCTTCTCATCTTCATGATCTGTTGGATCAAAGTCACCTTCTTCCTCGCTAAATTCATCAACAGTTATTTCCAGACCTTCCAAAGGATCTGGCATATCTTTTCCAGAAGTTATCTTCTCTAGCAAAATAGTCTTCCCGTGCTGGGAAGCCACTCCATTTTCAAGCACACTAGTGTCTGTCACACCGTTCCTAACATTATTGATTCCTTTAACACTTAAAACCTCCCCTTTTGATTCAATCTCTTTTGATTTTAAAGCATCATTTTTTCTTTCTGGGGAAACAAAAGAGTTTGATGTAGTTGTAGAGTCACAGCCTTTAGAAGGAGCCACAGTATAATTCCCCTTTTCCAGTGTGAGGAAAAACTGTGACTTGTGTTCATCAGATGCAGTAGGAGATGCTGGCACTGAATCAGCTCTCTCTTTTGCTGCTTGACACGCACTACTGTTATCATTCTTTACAAGGACAGCATTCGGCGATGAGACTTTCTTTGGAACATAATTCTTTGGTTTTGGTGGGACAGGAGGTTTTTTCTTTTTCTCACCAGATGGCAATGACTGGGCATTTGAGAGCAGTGTACTTTTCCGCCCAAGAGAGCTTCCTCTTGGCGGTGGGGGAGGTCTTGGTGGCTTTTTGCTTGTCATTGAATCCAAATCGCTTGTGGGTTTTGCCGCATTTAATTCTGGCTTCATGTTCTCTTTCCTTTCTGTGCTTGGACTTGACATTTCATTAGGTCTTGTTGTTCCATTCTTTTTGTATTTCCTGGGTGGCGGCACAGGAGGTCCTGTAGTATGCCTTCTGCCAGAGATTAAAACAAACAACAATTTCAGCTTGTAGATGTACTGTAGAGGATTGTACACAGCAGTGACCTTTGTTAGAGGACATGCACAAGTACTTGTAGGTTGTGCCAATTGTGCAAACAAGTTGTACCATAGCCTGGGTTAGCAGATCTTCCAGTCGGCTTTTATTGTAAGTGGATTCTCTCCACCACTTGCCCAGTGGGCAAGTGACGTTTCTTGCCAGAAAAACGTTTTGAGAAAATTAAAATTACAGAATGAAATACTGTGTCAAACTTTTTGGGAGTTAGTGATTAGCTCATCAGGCTAGTACAATACATGTGTCTTTGAAAGACAACATAGCACAAGAACAGTGTTTAGTATGTTGCATCTCCAGTAAAGATTACTCTACGGCTGTCATTAAGTTTTGAGTCAACTTTAGCCTTGATCTTCATACATGTACACTGTACTTATAGCTTGTGTCAGTTGTGCAAACAAGTTGTGTGATAACCTGGGATTAGTGGATTTTCCAGTCGGTTTTTACTGTAAGTGGATTCACCCCATCACTTGCCCAGTGGGCAAGTGACATTTCTTGCTAGAAAAACTTTTCGAGAAAATTCAAATTACAGACTGAAATTTATACTGTAAGTGTCAAACTTTTTGGGAGTTAGTGATTTAGATTTTTAGACTAGTATATGAAGAACAGTGTTAGTACATTGCATCCCTAGTAAAGATTACTCTAAGGCTGTCATTAAGTTTGAGTCAAATTTAGCTTTGATCTTCACACCTGTAACAAACTTGTTACATTTTGAGTGAATTGTATCTGAACTATAGGCAAGTCACATGTAACATCAAGGGCACATCAAACATTCTCAGCCATAGCAGGCGTTATGGGCTACAGCCCTTATTGACAGCCCTGTAATTTATCCTCTGACAGTATCACATACATGTACACTGTAGAGGGCAGCATTACAAGGCATGCAGTTAGTACCCAGTCTGGCAAATAATGTATTTACATTAAACATTTCCATCCAGTGTTAGAATGTACTATGTCTAACAATACAAAAATAAACTTACTCTCCAAGAGTATCTCCATCATCACTGTGCTCTGTTAAGAACAATAGAAAGATTTAAAAACAATCAAAAACTCAAAGACATGTGATTGTCATACTATACAGTCATGTAACTTATACTAAAGATTAAATGCCATGTATTGATATCAAAATTCTCTTGCTCATAAGATTGAATTAAAAAGTGTAGTGTAGTGCACAGTTTACCATTCTTGTCCAAAACCTTTTTCATTGAAAAAATGTCAGAGGTCATTTTAGAGTAACAGAAAGAGTTTGATTTATTACGCTATGAGCACAAAAATCTAATTTATTTATTTTCTACAAGTGGTACTTTGATTGTGGTATTGATTGTTTGTCTTTACAAAATCTCTGATTGTTTCTGATCTGATTGGTTCTATCATTTCATTGCTTATTCTTCCAATCAATGACCAGGATTGCACATGCTGGCCCTTAAATGGGAATAATATCATTCTTGATTTTTAGGGTGCCTACTAAATAAAAACAAAAGTTATCATTTATTAGACTTTAGACTTCTTTTATATGAATATAGAGTCCAGCTCTCAGCTGTACTTGATTTACAATTCACTCAAAAAATAAACATGGACACCTTATCTCATCGAAAACAAAGTGCATTCCATTGAACAGTGTTTCCACCAGACCGCGCCATTACAGGAATCCTGCATTGAAATTGCGGGAATCCTGCCAATTTGGCCATTTTCCTTTACAAGTCAAGACTGTAGGCTTAACACAGGCACAGAAGCCAGCCCTGGCAGCCAGCCCAGGGCTCAATATTACGACCGATACAGTCGCCAAAGCAACTAACATTTGATCCTTGGCGACCAAAAATTCTGGTTCAGTCGCCACAATGGCGCCTACATTTCTTTGTGTTGATGATCAATAATGGTTATTTTCTCACACATTATGTCCTTCTAGAAAATTATATTGAAAGATCGTTGCTTCTAAAACATTCAACATGAGAAAAGAAGTCAATTCGTCCTTTTGCTTTGCTGTATTGATTCTCTCACATTGGAAAACACTGTGTCTGAAATCACCCTATAATGCATTACAAACCCTTCATCATTGACTAGGTCATGTATGCCTATGGATTGTTCTCTTGTAATGCACGGATCCTTCTTACTAGCATCTGATTCAAAAGAAACTTCATTGAGTAGAAACACTTCAAAAAGCACTTACTATTAAATTTTATCATACATCCTAGTAAACTGCTTTATTTTCCTTGGTACCCTGCTGCATTTTTCCTTCTGTAGCTTTCAATTTATTGGCCCTTTTCTTAAAAACTGGCCTCTAAAAAAGGTTTTCAGGAGCCACTTTGACCCTCAAGTAACATTTTCTGGCTGAAACACTGATTGAAAATCCACAAATCTCATTGTCATCTATTCCCTGATAGAACAAGATATATGCTCTTGAAAGTGAAAGACTAAATAACTGCATGTACATTTGTATTCTTAATTTTTGGCTCCAAAATAATAAAACTTGTGGGTTTTGGAATGTCATTATACATAATTACGAATGTCTACAACAACAATTAGACCATTCGCCTTAACTTTCTTTCGGCGACATTCAACTCAGTTTCATCTCTTTGACCATTCATTCAAGAACACTTGAGCTCACAGCCTAATTTTTAACTACATAAAGAATTTCCAAGCTTTTAGTCTCAGCAATCACTGCAATACCAGGCCATGTTGGATATACAATTATTCTAACATGACTCAAAGGCTTTCAGGACAAAATTTTAAATTTGACAAAGTTTCCACTGTCCCTCAGTTCCCAAAAGAGACTTGAATACAGAGAGAACACAACCAAGTTTAGGAGTTTGTCCCAAAAGCCTTGGAGCTACAGTATGTAAGAATATTGATGCATTTTGCCCCCTAAACCAAAAACCTAATCAAAAAAGTCAACCGGAATACTTAAAGCTCTAATTAAGTCCAAGAAAAAACCAAATACATCCTAAAATTAAGAGTTATCAAAACAAAATAGCTAAAAAATATGAAACTGAATGTAAAATAAATAAAAATTATTATTTTGGAAAAAAAAGGGATATTTTAGCCCTGGCCAGAAATTAAATCATAATGTAGGTAGATTAAATATGTAAGTAGCCAAAGAAATAATTCAGATTGATTCACTCTTTGTAATCACAAAGTTATTCATTTCTTTATTTTTTTGGTGTGTCCTTTTCTCTTGTTGTCTCTTTTCTCGCGTAATTTTCGTCCTTGTCACTTGTAATATAATGTAAGCTACTGATGTAAACTTAATAGCCATTTATTAATTTTAAGCCTATTTTTTTTACAAATTGATGTAAGCTGTTGAATTGAAATAAAAATGTGAAGGAAAAAAAAAAAGAATATTGATGCATCCAGCGTGGCCTATTGCTTAGCATTCCTTATATAATTTGACAGTCAGCAGTACATCCCCTATAATTTTTCTGCAACCCTGAAACTTTTTGCCTTCATGACCAGGAATTGAATTTTGTTTAATTTCCCATGTAAACATCAGCAGTATTGAAATGACAACTTAAAGCAGCTGCCTCCAAAACAAGTCACAATGAATCAAAATAACCCTTACTACAATTAAATGTAAAAATTAATCACAGACACCTATAATTCTTGATGTGAGTGTCAACATGACCTTTGTATAGAAATATACACTGTTCTGAAAAAAAATTTCTGCTCATTTTTTTTTTTCTTTTTTTAATGAAACAGGCTTCATAGTCCAATTGGTAACTTTAAATTATCCGTCAAAATGAGTGCACCTGTACTTGACTAAATTGGTTATATTATTCTCTAAATAAACTATAGCAGAGAATTGAAGTTGCTATGGACATATGACCTGACTGTGCAATAACTTAATTAACCATGAAGGGGCCCAGCCTAAATGCAAATCTATATATTAGACTTTAAGAATAAATAAAATGCTTTCAAAAAGCTAAGGTGATTTTAAAAAAGTACACAATGTAAAGAAATATACGCTCATACGAATTAACAAACACCGGGATATTCCACGGACTCTAACAAGACGCTTTGTGAAATCAATCTTTAGTTCTATTGTTCAGTTTGACAAGCGTGTCAACAGGTTTACGTCCTAAGTATCGGAAATCTTTTCCGCTTCAAAAATTGGGTTGCATTCAGTGAATTATGAGGAAAGAAGACCGTAAAATGGAGCGAGCGAAGGTTGTGAAGTGAAGATCATGAACAGAGTGGAATAAAGACAAAGAAACCACGAAAACATCACAATGATCTCATACTTCACCAGGACACTTCAAAGAAGCGAGAATTAAAGTTTGTGGCTCACCGATCAGCTCTTCACGGTTCTTTTTCCTGGGCGGGGGACTTTCTCCAGAGTGTCTATCTGCAAAACCATGCGGTAAAAGGCAATTTAGAATACACCAGCTTCAAGAAATCGACTGAGGTTCGATAGAGGAAATAAGATATCAAATCGACGACACGTTGAACGCACAGGCGGAAATGCCTACTGCATTAGACTTTCACGCGTCCAAACAAGCCCTGAACAAACAGATTTGCGCGAAAGTGAATTCTGATCTCAAATAAACTCATCTATTAATAAACTAACCATCTAACTTTAGAAAGACGCATGTACATGTATATGGCCCAACAAGAAACACCCCCAAATATTTCAGCTATTCCCAATGTTAGCAGCCATAGCGAACAACACAACATTCAAACGACATACGGTACCTTCGAACACTTTGGCTTTCTCCTTCACACTCATTCTCTCTTGTGCACAACACCAAAAAGTTGATAGTTAGCATCTACGGCGGTTACATTCCTGATTTGCCATGTTAATATTGCACATCTTTTGTGATGAAAACATTTATTCGCTACAAAATGTTCACTTCCTCTGCTCTGTCTTTGATCACATGATTTGCATACAGGAAACCGCTGACCCTACAGTCTGTTTTCAAATTTGTGCATGCATAATTTTTGCGATTCAGGAGGAAATAATTTTTGGGAGCATACACAAATTCAAAAATTGTCTGGAGGTTGATCAACAGACATTTTGATGACTGCACTAAAGAAATGGGTGACCGATTCAATAAAGATTGATGAAACGTTCAGGTCTAATTTAAGAAAATGTACTATACTGGGGATTAAAACATTTCATTTGATCTTTATACTTCACATTGAACTTTTTCCACACCTAATTTCCGCGGCATCCCAATGAAATGAATCATTCGAAACCCTGATTTTTTTTTCCCCTGTTATCTGAGTGATCTTTTGAAAATGCAATCAAAAGGGCATCCAGGTTGAGACAAAACGAGAGGACATAACTGACATGAATTTTCCACCGCTTTTTCACACCCTTAATTTCCTTTTGAACATCTTTGAGTATGTTATTTTAGGTTTCATTTCAGACCATACAGATACGAAAGCCGAGTTTACCAAAGGTTCTGGCCGACCCAGTGTCAGCTGCCATCAGTTGTCGTAGGATCGATCCATTTTGTTGTGGGGTGTGGCGGAAAAGCGTGGTATGAAACAGATATCAAAATTCAAAACGTAAGTTAGTTTCTTCCGCTCAGCCCTGTTCTTTTGTGTTGTAGGAAATCAAGTGACAAGCTCCGCCTCTGAACGGAAGAGCATTTCAGCAAAATCTTTACCTTTAATTCCGGTAAACTTAAAGCTAAATATAACTTGTAAGGGGTTTTGACTGGATGCCAGAAGACGAGTTTCAACGGTTAATTTAATCTAATCTGCAAGGCGTTCATCTATAAAAAGAAAATTGAAAATTTGACATTCGAAGAGTTTGGCGAATCTCTTTACATTGTAAAACAGCTTTCGGGCGTTTGGTTGGTTCGAAATATCGGGAGGCTGATTTGTGCTATCAAAATTTTCAGAGCAAGTTTCAGTTTTTGAGCTTAATAAAAATACGTTTCTTGTCAGCATAGCATCGATTATGTATTAATCGATTTTAAATTGGAAATCAAGTCCCGGAAAACCCTTTAGCTCTAATCAGCAGGAGTTTTTCCCCGCGGGGAGGGGTACCCCTTTATATGGGCTATGGTTTTTTCAGTCGTTTTGGTCATAAAACGGGTATAGATTTTGGCCATTTTGCCCTCTAGTCTTGAATTGGGTATGTTTTTTTTTTAGAATCTACTTTTTTCGATTCATCATTATCAATAACACCATCAACAAAAAGGCCTTTCACAATGCGTTTAATATCGGTCTGATTTAGGGAACTAATTGTAAGGCAGGTCTGAATCAGGGTATTGATTTAAGGGTCAGGCGTTTTCAATTGGGTATCAAATTTTTGGTCAGGTCATTAATGGGGTAAGGAATTTGTTTTGGGAAGCGGGCCGCACACCCCCACCTTATTCGCATTATTCTGATTTGTTCCAGTGTCCTGTCCATAGAAAAATTAAACTCATAAGCTTTCGTCCTTTCGCGCGCACATTATTATGTTACTTTCCACCTTGACCTTACTTTCTGCGCTCGACTCTTCAATGGCAACCTGAAAGCAATAAGTAAACTCAACCATAGAAAAGTCCTGCACTATTTTCATGCATCACTTTTCAAACTCTTCGAACAGAATTAAAAAGTCTTGCTCTTTAAGGAATGGCTGGCTAGATTTTGCATACTAGTTAATGTTGTGCCCTTCCACCTTTTTCTCGAGACCTCTACCACTTTTCTAATTGTGCTTATACTTTGCGATCTTTTTCCATTTTTCTCCTCGTGAAAACCAGAACATGTCATCATAATAAATGATCCTCAAAGAAAAAGTAAAAAATAAAATGAAAATAAATGATTCTCGTCCCAGACCCTGGGACCTTTGCACGAGGAATGGTGGTTTTACAGGCACCTGATTTGACCGACTATACAGATTTGTGGATCAAAATTTTCAGTTATTCAACGCTGGTTTCCATGGGTGACCTCCAACTAAAATCGTTCGATTAGAGCACAGACCGTCAGGAAGTTTACTGAAACTGAATTACGGGAAGAATTTTGTCGAAGTCCTTTATAACGAAGCATGTGGATGCTACTTTCAGCTGGAATTTTATTTTTGCCTCATATTCTCTTTGTTAACATCTGTTTGAGTTTAGGTATATGGGTGCTCCATAGAACGGTTTTAGTTAAGATCAACCAGAGAATATTTCGTTCTACTCTTCCGTGGATAAGAGGCATAGAGCGGCATGGTGGTAGGTTTGAAAGCAAAGATCGATCAATATTTTAGAGTTATCGAGTTTATTGAAAAGAGATCATCCCTTTTAATAACGTTACCTCGACTATTGAACAAAATATTACCCTAGCTTAAGGAATAATATCGTCCCTTAGAAAAGGAAAGATCACATTCTATTGAGCAAAACACCTTCAGTCACTTAACTGTTGATGAAAACTGAAAAGTGAAAAGTTCATTGCAGTGCAGTAATACTTACGGAAACCATGACAACAAAAAGAAAGAAAAGCTCTCTAACCGGAAGAAGTTTAAAACAGCTAAACGAATACACCCCATATCAGCTTAGATGAAGAATTTTCCTCGCGTATTTCTCGACATTTACAGCAACTCAGTTTTGTACAACACGGCTCCCATGATCCAGCTTAATGAATACCCTTTTAATTCCTTTTGAACGTAAATTTGCTTGTTCTGAGGCATTTTATAACCTTTACTCAAGAGTTCGTACACATAATTTCCCCACAAACACGAGAACTTCACATATCCTTCATCAATCGGCTTCACCACGTTGTACGGCTTGGAGCAGAACTT